ACCTCAATATCCCCACTGTATTCTAGCTCAACTATAGTATTTTATAGATCAACCCTAATATTCTCTAGTTTATCCCCAGTATTTTGTAGCTCATCAGTAGTATCTTCTAGCGTATTCCTTATATTTTCTTGCTCATCTCCAGTATTTTCTAGCTCAACCTTCTTTTTCTGAAATCATCCCCATTATTTTCTAGTTCTAGCTCATCTGCAGTATTTTCTAGCTGATCTCTAATGTTTTCTACCTCGTCCCCAGTATTATACAACTCAATCCCCACTACTTTCTAGGCCACCCCAGTATTTTTTAGCTCAACCCTGATGTTTTCTAGTTCCTCCTCAGTACTTTCTAGCTCATCCCTTTTATTTTCTAACTCATCCCCAGTATTTTTTGCTCCCCCCGGTATTTTCTGAATCAACCCTATATGTATATTTTTCTTACTCAGTATTTTTCAGCTGATCACCAGTATTTTCTAGCTTCAAACCCATTATTTTATACCTCATCCCTAGTATTTTCTAGATCAACCCTAATACTTTTTTTTAGCTCATCCCCTGTATTTTCTAGCATATCCTCAGTATTTTCTAGCTCAACCCTAATATTTTCTGGCTCATATAAAGTTGTTAAAAAAAAATCTCATTCACAATATTTTCTAGCTCAGCCTCAACACATTCTAGCTCATCCCCAATATTTCATAGCTGAGCCCTAATATTTTTTTTGCTGATCCTCAGTATTTTCTAGGTAATCCCCAGTATTTTCTAGATTTTCCCGGTTTTTCCTAGCTGATCCTCAAAATTAGCCAGTATTTTCTAGCCCATCCTCAATATTTTGTGGCTAATCCCAAATATTCCCCAGTATTTTCTAGCTCATCAGCAACATTTTTTAGCTCATCCCTAATATTTTTTTTAGCTCTTTCCCAGTATCTTTTAAAAGGGTGACCTTATTTAGGCCACATATGGCCTAAATAAGCTAAACCCCCCTCCCTTACCTTATTTGGGCCACTGGTGGCCTAAATAAGCTAAACCCCCCTCCTTTACCTTATTTAGGCCACAGGTGTGGCCTGAATAAGCTAAACCCCCCTCCCTTACCTTATTTAGGCCACATATGTAGTCAAAATAGCCAAACCAACGTAAAGCATTGTTTTCTTTACAAGTTACGTTATTATCTCTTTAAAAACTCTTCACATCCATTTTCCTTCACAGCCGTATCGTACATGACATGTGATGTAGAATCAATTTAAGGTCCTTGGAAAGGTGACCAGAAAATAACAAAATTATTTTATGATCTTCACTTGCACTTGCAATTTTTTGGACAAATTAAAGTCTACCTAATTATATTTCCCCCCCTCATTTTTCTTCACTATAAATGACAACTGGCATGTATTGTTTTCAGTTATTATCAAGAAAGTGGATAGGCGGACTACGGGGTCTATCTAGCCAAAAGGATAGGTGGTCCCCGGGGTCTACCTAACAAAATGTTAGGTTTTAAGATGTGAACCCCGGAGTCAGCGTAGTGAAATAAGTAGATTTAGGTTTACCTAAGGATCGGTGGACCCCGGGGTCAACATAATGAAATAAGTAGATCTAAGTTTATTTTATAATAGGACTGGCGGAGGCCGTGGTCAAAGTAGTGAAATTATAAGTAGATATAGGTTTAATTAAGGATTGAAGAACCACGGGGTCAATGTAGTGAAATCAGTAGATCTAGGTTTAATTAAGGATTGGTGGACCCTGGGGTCAATGTAGTGAAATATGTACATGTAGATCTAGGTTTAATTTTAAGGATTGGTGGAACCTGGAGTCAACGTAGTGAAATAGGTAGGTTTAAGGTGAACCCCAGGGTCTACCTAACGAAACTCTAGTTAGGTTTTAGAATAGGTGGATCCTGCGGTCACCGTAGTAAAATAAGTAGGTTTAATCAAGGTGTCCCGGGGGTCCACCAATCCTTAATTAAACCTTCTTAATCCTTTATGGCCTTGGTGACTCCGGGTTCCACCAATCTTTAAAGAAACCTACTTATTTCACTGCGGTGACCCCAGGGTCCACCTGTCCTAAAACCTAGTACCAATCCTTACTTAAACCAAACCTTATTTCACTACAGTGACTCCGGGGTTCACATCCTAAAACCTAGTATTTCGCTATGCAGACCCCGGAGTCCACCTATCCTCTACAGGACTATACTATTATTATCAATTTGCAATTTTCATTGATTAGCATTTTTGTTTAAATATAATATTGAATCAGAGTGCAGGGGAGACCGAGGCGCCCGGTCGATTCGGTGGTCGGCTTTTGTAGATCTATGCATTTTTTACGGAAAGCCGTATTACCTAACCCTATTACTAGATCTATTAGTGTTGTGAAAACTTCAACCTCTACAGCTCAGGCGTCAAAAGATGCTGGTAAATAATAATAGATCTACGTCCTGAAGTTTCATAATTTATTTTTATACAGAATAACACAGTACACTGTCAGTAGTTTTTATTTCATCGAGTTATAAAAATGGCCTTCGTATAAAAATTGCCTTGTTTTCAGAAGCAAGTTTTAATAGTTCTAGTTCTACCTAATCGATTTTCATGCGAATTCAACCATTTTGATGATCTTTCTTTTCCTTTTAAAAAGATGTAGATCTAGGCCTGTCGGATGTGGCAGTGCGAATAGCACTGAGTTGTTTAGATCTAGATCTAGACCCATCAAAACACGAGGCTTCGTGGCCGATCACAAGTCTACAGGGCTTATCGAGGCCGATTCGCCCTGCCGCGAGCACGTTCACTAAACTGCCTACTAGATAGAATCAACTACCAAATATTCTCCACACGATCTTTGCTACTGCTACTACTAGGCCTACTAGCCTACATGTATTACTACGAGACAGTACGAGAGAGTGTCACTCAGGCAAAGATAGTGTAACTTTGACTCAGCCACGTAGTATACACACTTTTTATACCCCAAATTTAACCCGAAAGTCCATTCGGAGGATTTGACCTTTTCACTTGACCAAAGTGTGCCAAAATGGTAGCCTAGCTTTTGCCCCTCCATGAAGGAAAAATCCGGCCCTCATTCAAACCATTGGAATTGAGCAAAATTTTGCGTTTTGTGCTTTGTTCTTTACAATATTCATTATGGTTATGATTTATAAGTTGTACACTGAGGCAAAACCATACTAAATGAGAAAAGGGCACCATTATGAAAGTGGAATGAACTCAGTTGCCTGAAAAGGGTAGTTTGAACATGTGTGGCCTAAATAAGCTAAACCCCCCTCCCTTACCTTATTTAGGCCACAGTCCACTGTGGCCTAAATAAGCTAAACCCCCCTCCTTTACCTTATTTAGGCCATATGTGGCCTAAATAAGCACCCCCCTTTTAAAATCTCATCCCCAACATTTTCTAGCTCACCCCTAATATTTTCTAGGTAATTCCCAACATTTTCTAGCTCATCCCCAATATTTTCTAGCTGACTAGCTCCATCCCAAGGGTGAAAATGGAGGAAAATTGGGGTATACATGATAAGCTGGGTAACTCTCGGTCTATACTCTATCGTCAAGGTACATGTCTATTCATTATTCCCAGCTTTGCCTTCTGTCAAAGGTGCCATGACAAATGTATTGACCTATAAATGACAGTGACTCAGCAATGGCAACTTCTATAGGTGGAGATATCCAACAAGACAAAATACGCGGTATGGCTTGTCCGCAATCTCTTCAAACAGGCTTTAACTTTCAGTATCAAATGCCATTTTCAACCCTCAACAAATGCCAAATTTCAACTTCTTTGTGAACTTGGTCTCAACTCCCACTGGGACATCGTCCCTGAACCGTACGGGGGCCTATACGGTCCCTGAACCCTATGGGGGCCTTTGCAGTCCCCAGACCCCCCACATATTTTTCCTGACTATTTCGCTCCAGCTGTCGGAAACACGACTGACAAGACTGTCTATTTTGTTTTAGTAAGAGTTTTACAGCACTTGCAACACAAGAAGGTCATATAAGTGCCGAAGATTAGAGGTATTACAAGACAGTACAAGAGAGTAACAAACAAGAACAAAGGAGGGGAAAAGTCGATAGATGTTTGATAGGAAAGAAGAAGCAAACCACACCAGAACACCCGCCAACCATCCACTGACAAGACTGTCTACACATTTCAACATAAAATTAAGTAAAAAAAACAAAACCCCCAAAAACTCAAAACACACATCATAAAGATTATAAGATCGCAATTTTATTCTCAAAAAAGAAAAAAACCCAAACCATGCAGTTTTGATGCTTCCAAGAAATGAGGCAAAATCAGAGCTAGAGAATCGGAGACTGCCACGGCACCGCCAACGTGCCGATTCCCCCGCCCGCTGGTTCAGAGAGTTTTACCTGACTGTGAACCAGGGAGCTCCATGCCCCCAAACAACACATCTCCTTCCTTTCACTTTCAGAAAACACAGACAAAGTTTTCCATTCTAAAACTAGAAGAAAAAATCCTCCCAAGTTGGAAAAGTTGGAAAAGTTGGAAGCTCAGCTAACGTACAAATGTACACCTCCTATGTCGCATCCACATTACCCTGCCACTAGATTGTTGTTTTAGAAAAGTAAATGCCATGACTTTGTCCTTAATGTATTTTTTAAAAAAGGGAAGTGCTACGGGCCTAACTTTGTAGCTGTAGTGCGGGGACAAGACGTGAAGGCACTCCAGCGACGATGAAATGCCCCGATGTGACTCACCCACTACACACGTGTTACACGACAGCACGGTACACAATCCTACACACCACAGTACAACCCCGTACACACCACAGTGCAGACGCCTACAGATCCAAATGCATACACTTACATAAATTGATCCATGTGTTCACAATTCACTCACACACAGAACGTGTCACAATCCACACACACACTCACAGAACGTGTCACAATTCACACACACACTCCCCCACACACACAGAACGTGTCACAATTCACTCACACACTCCCCCACACACACAGAATGTGTCACAATCCACACACACACAGAACATGTCACAATCCACACACACACTCTCCCACACACACAGAACATGTCACAATCCACACACACACAGAACATGTCACAATCCACACACACACTCTCACACACACACACACAGAGAAGGTGTCAAGAAGAGAAAATGTACATGAGGCCCGACAGGCTTGACCAGCGTCCAGGACTCGCGGCCAGCTGCCCACCACAGCCAGGACTAGAAGCCGTGCACCTGGGGGGAACAGGGAAAGAGATATATTGTTAGATCAGAGAACACACAAACATATTGTTAGATCAGAGAACACACAAACATATTGTTAGATCAGAGAACACACAAACATATTGTTAGATCAGAGATCACACAAACATATTGTTAGATCAGACAACACACAAACATATTGTTAGATCAGAGAACACACAAACATATTGTT